TCCACATCCTCTCCAACATTGACTTTCATTGGTGTTTTTGATCGTAGCCATTCTGACAGGTGTAAGGTGGTATCTCAGAGTCGTTTTGATTTGCATTTCTCTGATGATTAAGGATGTTAAGCATTTCTTTAAATGTCTTTCAGCTATTTGTGATTCTTGTTTTGTGAATTCTCTGTTTAGCTCTTTAGCCCACTTTTTAATTGGACTGTTCAGTACTTTGATGTCTAGTTTCTTGAGTTCTTTATATATTGTGGAGATCAATCCTCTATCAGATGTGGGGTTGGTGAAGATCTTTTCCCATTCTGTTGGCTGTCTTTTTGTCTTATTGACTTACTGACTGTGTCTTTTGCCCTGCAAAAGCTTCTCAATTTCGAGAGGTCCCATTTAGGATTTGTGTCTCTTTGTGAGCTGTGGTTTCAGGGGGGAAAAAAAAGCATCAAAGTAAGGTAAGCTCTGGAGCGACCCCCAGAGGCTTATCGTGAGCTGCACTGCAGGGCTGGTGGAAAGAAGGTCCACTCACATCAGTGTTTTGAACCACTTCAAAATTATTTTAAAATACTGAGTTTTTCAAAGATCTCTTTTGACTTTTGTATATGCTTTTACAACAGAAAACATTTCAATAATTCTGATGTGCACTTTAGTCACAACAAGTTAGAAATAACTTTTTCCACCAATTTTTCTTGCTAAGAGAATGACAGAATAAAGGACTTCCTGCACAAACCTGAAGTTCAGAGTTCAAAACCCGGGTAAAACCTGCGTACATGGTGGCCTGCCTGTGCCCCAGGGCTCACACAGTCGAAATGGGACCCCCTAGGGCAAGCTGCTTAGCTGACTAGGTGAGTAAGTGACTGACTCCTTGAGCCCCTGGTTCTATGAGAGAATACTCCTCAGCAAACAGAGACTAAGGAAGACATCCACCATCACCCTGTGGTCTCTACACACATGCTCATGCATATGCTTGTGAACACGCATACACACAGGACACACACACAACACACACTGACAAAAAAAAACTTTGAAAAAGTTGACACACCGATGTTGGAGTCTGGCAAACAGCACAGAGCAATGGAACAAAGGGGCAAGGTGGAAACTGGAGGTGGGAACACGGATCAGGAAGCAGAATGGGGAGCTGATGGACAAGAGATCAGGCGCTTCCACTTTCAAACAGCCATGCACATAGTTCCCAGAGGCCGTTCCGGTCTCTCACCTCCCTACATGGACTAACTACAATATCGCAATGTTAATAAAGAAGGACATAGGACATTTCCAAATGCTCCTAGATCAAGGGATGGATTCTAGATTACAAAAGAAAACAAATAGGATTCCATGGATGTAAATTCCTAATGGTAAATCGAGCATTTTTCCGAAGAGGGTTGCTATAGCAATGCCATGAGATACTAACAGTGCTGGAATGTTATCAAATATAACAAATATCGAGTCCTATCATGTGATGCCCCCTCTGATAAACTTTTTCATTCTCCATTGAAAATCATTTGAATAATTACTATAGAAGCTTCCAGCTTGCACTTTCCAGTGCCTGCTTCACTCGGGCCCTGTTTTTCCCTGAAGAAAATCATCCCCCAACCAAAGCAAATAGAATCCCACAAAGCCATACATATACATACGTGTCGAAGAAGTTCAATGTTACCATTGGTGATTTCATTGCCTATCTTCAAAAGCCATTGTTGAATCATGTCAAATATATGACTTTGGAGTGTCCTGCAGGAAAGAGCAGACAAGATAAACCCAAGAGACTTGAGAAGAATATACAAGTCACCGTCAGTGAGACAAAAGCAAGACATAGTAATTGTGGGTGTTGAGAAGTTTTGTGAGAACTTAGACAAAAGTGATTCAAAGCCTTGAGCTACCGATAAATTAGTTAGGTTGAGAAAGCCTTCCTAACTCCTAGACAGGTGTCAACTAGCATGATGCTCTTGGAACAGTGTACAGTCTACCTGCAATATTCTCTCTCCACTGTCAACAGCACGCTGTTCACTCCTAGGTGAGGAGGACCTTCTTGTGTAATGCTGATTAATTTTAAAATTCTCTCAGTGATTGGCAGCCAGCATGACAGTGTGCAGGGTCAGCACGGCCCACTTCCACGCTAAAACAATCAGAGTTAACTTTGGAAAACTGAACCATTGAAAGCTTCCAGAAATGATAAGAAAGAAAAGAAATTCAAAGAAACAATGGCTGAAAACGACCCAAATTTATGGAAAAATAATAAACACACAAGGTTCAGCAGTCTCCAGGCAGAATAAACACAGAGATTCATAAACAGAAACATCAAAGTGAAAAATCAATTAAACCGAAAGGTAGTTCCTTGCAAAGGATGGGTTAGTTGGGCTTTCGATTGCTGTAATAAAACATCAAAGCCAAAAGCAACTTGAGGAGGAGAGTTTATTTCAGCTTTCAGTTGTGGTCCATCACCCAGGGAAGTCAGGGCAGGAATTCAAGGCAAGAATCTGGAGGCAGGAACTGAAGCAGAGGCCACTGGCTTGTTTCCCTCGGCCAACCACGTCAATCATTAATCAAGAAAATATATTATACAGACTTGCTACAGGCCAATCTTATGGAGGCATTTTCTCAATTGAGAGTCCCTCTTCCCAAATGATTCTAGTTTGTGTCAAGTTGACATAAAACTAACCAACACAATAAGTGTTTAGCTGCAGTTACCAAGAAAAGCAGAGGCGAGGTCCAATGACCACACTCAGAAATGAGAGAAGGGACGGTGTTGACCTTTGGAAACAAAGGACAGGGACATGGCTGTAGTTCTGATGCGGTTTGAATGTGTCCCTCAGTGGTCACTGTGTCAAAAGCCAGTTCTCATGCAGTAACACTCATAGGCAGTAGAAGCTGGGGCTCGAGAGATGGCTCTGTCCTTACTTGTTGCTCAACCAGGGGACCCAGGTTCAATTCCCAACACCCACATGATGGCTCACAACCATCGGCAACTTCAGTTCCTAGGGGCTGATCCATTTCTCTGACCTCTGTAGGTAACCAAGCACACAGACATACATGCCGGCAAAACTCCCATATACATAAAATCAAAATCATTTCTGAGAGAGGTAGTAGAGTCTTTGAGATTCAGCTCTGCAGGCAGGGTCTGCCAGACCCTTCAGGGAACCCACTGGGGACAGGTGTTGAATTGTCACTAAACGAAGTAGCTGATGCCTGCGCATTTCTAGGTTTAGTAGCAAGGTGAAGTTGAGAACTTTACAGAGCAGGAGAGAAATACAGAATCTGTCCTGGAGGGGTTGGCTCTCGGTGAGGTGTGTGCTAACCCAGATGTGCGAGACAGGGCTCAATGTGAGCTCAGAAAATCTGCACGTGCTCCCAGCAATGGGCACTCTGAAGGACAGAAAAGAGAATTCAGACAGGGGATGCATAAAGGGTGCCTGCAGGAGATGCCAGGGTTTTGTAGGGCTGGTACAGCTGTGGAATGCCATTTCACAAAGCCCTCGGCTGGCATCCAGCAGCCTGGGACCCTCTCTGAACTGCCCTCTCTGGAAATTCAGCAAGACACTGCTGGGTGGAGAAAAGTCTTTCTTTGGATAGGTAATTGGCAAGGCGGGAACTCAGCCAGAGCCTGCAAGGGGGATTTCAACCCAGGTTAGAATAAGGATGCCTGAGGACAGAATGATTCCCACAAGGGCGGGGCACTTGCAACAGGTCTCCTAAAGGACATCCCAGAAGCCACTCACTGACCAGACTAAATCTGTAATCTTATCTCCCAAAGGAAAGAACCCAGGTGAGAAAAGGACTGTTCCGAGATGCAACAGGCGTCTGGGAGCCTGGGAAGGACGACCATGAGGCTCAGACAGGAAACTGAACCCAGCAGACCTCCAGCAGGCTTTCACAGTGTGCTCTCACCCAGCTCTTCCTGCTTCACAATTATCCCCTCTTTAGTTAAGACACGGTGTCAATTAAGCTAGCCAGATCTGCCCTTCCTAGTTCTTGATCCCGCTGTGGTGGTCTGAATAAGAATGGTCCCCCACAGGCTCACATATTTGAATGCTCAGTCACCTAGGAGTGAAAGGATTAGGAGGTGTGGCCTTGTTGGAGGAAGCTTGTCCCTGGGCCTGGGGATTGAGGTTTCAAAGGCCCATGCCAAGCCCAGTGTCTCTGTCCCTGCCTATGGATCAGGAATTAGCTCGCGTTACTCCAACACCACGCCAGCCACCATGCTCCACACCATGACGATAATGGACTAAGCCTCCAAAACTGCAAGCTAGACCCAATTAAAGCTTCCTTTTATAAGAGTGCCTTGGTCATGGTGTCTCTTCACAGCAACAGAACAGTGACTAAGACACCCTTTACCATTCTTTATTTTCCCCTCTCAGAGAACACAGGCTGCCCAGTCTGTAGCACCCTTGTGTCTCAGATTTCTGAGAGCTGGGAATAGCCTTACCTCATTGTACTTCCTTATCTCTCTGGCCAAGCAACCCTCAGCCAAACTGGCCTCATCCCCCTCATCTGCCCCTACAGTTCTCCCCTTCATGTCTTCTTTCTCTACCCTTTCTCTGTCTCTCCCATACTAGCTAGTAGTCATACCCTGAGGAGGTTTTCTCTTCTTTCTTTTTTTCTTTTCATTTTCCTTCCCACTCCCAAATATAGTAACTAATACTAATCAATGCACACAATACTATTAATACCTCCTCCTAAAGTGATTGGCACTTACAAGATGGTTTTTCTTTTAATTCCACTGTATTTTGATAGTGGGCCTACATTTAATCGTGATTATTTTTCATTCCTTTCATATGAACTGTTTATAATGGAAAAATGCAGAGAGATGGAAAACACATTAGTGGTTGATTAGGGCTGTAGGGGAGGAGAGGGGTAGAGACTAGATAGGTTATATGGCTTGCTTGTGTTTTTTTCCCCCAAGGGTTCGTGTTTTGGAAAGCTAGGCTTTTGGCATGGTCATGGCACTTTTAAGGGGGTGTGGCCTACTAGGAGGTAATTAGGTCACTGGGGGTACTCTCAGGTCCTTCCTACAGAAGTTGCTGGGAAAGAATGAGCTAGATCCCTCTGACTTGCCATGTGACTCTCCCTCCTGCATTCCTGCCATGATGTCATTTGTTAGGAGCCCTCAACAGAGTCAGCACCATGCTGTTTAGACTTTCAGCTTGCAAACTATAACTAAAAATAAGCCTCTTTACTGAATAAAGAGTCCAGCCACTGGTATTTTGTGACAGTAACAGAAATCCTATTTCACCATAGCATGCACAGTTTCTTTTTTCGAAGAATGGAAAAAGGTTTCAAATCCACTACAGTTGGCCACATCTATAAATACACTGAAAAAAACTGAGTTATTGCATTAGAACTTTAGAAACATCCTCCCTGAAAAGAAGAGCCTGGGAACTTACGCTCCAGAATCCATGTCCAGGTATTGTGGAACGGTACCAATAATGGTTAACAATGTGTCCAACTGATACTTCATTTCATTGATTTTTTCATCCAGTTCATCCCAGTCTTCAGGGGGAATACTAGTGGACTCTAGGAAGTTTTCTAACTTCAAAAAACATATGTCCAGAGAAGTAATCAAGTTTGGAAGAACTTTAGAGATACCTAGAAAAGTGGGGCAAAAACATTAACAAACTATTTGTGATATCGTTTCAATACTAGATTATAAAATCTGGGCAAGGACAGACCGACCTCCTTTTGCCTATCATCTATCAGAGAGCCTTGAAAGACTCATTTCTGAAAGGACTGGAATTGGCACAAAACATCCCAAGACTAAGTTCTCAGCACAAAGGAGATTTATTTGCCCCAGAGGTGAAGGGTTTACAACACGGTCGCATTTACCAGGCGGACACTTCCGCCTAGCCATTTCCCGATCAAGGCGTCTCGTAGCTAGGATACCCGGCGGACCCGGATATCTCCGCCTAGCAAGGTCCAGGCCAAGGGGTCTCGTGTGATCAGGGTCCGTGACGTTACATGATCACGTAAGCACACAATGTGACCATGTGATCTACGCACACGCGTAGAGTAGTGACGTGACCTGGCCACGCCCCCAGCCGGTTTTAAAAGTGGAGCGCCATGTTTCCCAGTCCCTCTTCACGCACGTGTCTCTCCCACAGGCCTGCACACTCTCTATCCCTGTATTTCTAATAAACTCTTATAAGCGGATTCTGTCGTGTTTCGTGACATTTCCTTGCAGGGTAAGAACACAACGCAGCTAAATAACTAACAAGAGGTACGAAGGACAGAGAATAAGAGACTAAGACAGGAGATAGAGGATGAGGGAGAAGGGGAAGGGAATAAGGGAGAGGGGAAGGGGATATTTGTCCTGAGAGACAAAGGACTGCCTCTGGCTAGAGAGGAGAGAGATGTGGACCATGGGCAAATGGTAATTTATAAAGGTAAAATGGGAAACCCCATGTTAGGATGAGTTGGTTTATTTTGGTTGGGCATGTAAATTAGGTAGCCAAAGGGGGCTTTTGATTGCTGGACTTCAATACTTTGATAGCTAGACCTTGGTGGTCAGCCTCGGGAAGAGGAAGTGGCCAAATAAGGGAATAGACCTTGGTGGCTAGCTTTAGGGATGTAATCTAAGGGTTTTTAGCAAGGCAGTGGGAATGGGGGAGAAGGGCAAGGCCTGCCAGAGCAGTGTTTGCCATGCTCAGGCCTACTAGAACCCCTCAATTCCTAAATACACAGTAAGTAAACACTCTGCAGTGAATGCTTCTGAAGCAGTGGGATACATCTTTTGGTGCATTCTAATTTTCTTGTTTTCTCCATGGAGAATCAAATGCATTAAATCCAGAAGTTACCAGCGACAGTTTTCTGTAAATGGCATTATTTTAATGTCACTCTCTGAAGAGTGCTTCTCCCTGGGATAGTTAATGACCAGTGAGAGTAGACATGGGTCTGAAGCCACTTCCTGGGTCCCTGACGGGTCTTCATGAAGGCCACACTTTCCAGCCACGGCAACCACTATACCCCGAAGGCCCCTGGAGAACAGAGCCTGGATCCCACTGTTAACCCAGTGGACTACTTCACTGGGAGGTCACAGAAAAATACCTTCTCTGTCTCATCTCAGTTGTAAAACATAAAATGAAGATCCTACCTTCTTAGAGTTACATAGAGAAATAACTACAAGCCAGCTGTTCGTGCTGTCTTAGGTGGAAACCTACCACTGTATTTACCGGTGCATCAATAAGTAAACAGGGATGTTCAAACTGACTTGAGAATTGTCCATCATTTTGACTTCTTAATTTTAAACCCTCTATAACTTCATTTTTTCCTTGCTCACTATGTACTCTTATAGGTATTGCCATTTTATTTAAAATTGTATTATTGTTGCTACAGAAAATTAGGCTGATGTTTCTTCCTGTTGTTTTACATGGAACAATGGTGCTATCCATGGATCAAGGTAACCAGAATTCTTTACCAGGAAGGATTCCTAAAAAATACACAAATAGTAAAAATGCATTGGTGAAATTTTAGCATCTCCATGGGTTTGGAAGAATGGATTTCCAGTATCTCCCTTCAGAGGAGTGGGGATAAATTAGACTCAGAATCCACTAAGGAGCAGATGGTCTGGACCCCTAAACCACCACACCTTACAGATAACATGGAAGGGCTAGGTGAGACCTCGAAATGCCTAGAGACATATTTCATTTCAACTCAGGCTCCATTTAAATTAAGGTGATCTGCTCTAGCCTTAAATGGGAGGAGATGCTGTAACACTCAAGGACAATTTAAAATTGGTCCCAGAGTCTCAGGTCATCTCTAGAACTGTACAGATAATATCAATATTCAATCAGAATACGGCTCATAAAAGAATTGGCTCAGAACTATGACAAAATAGAATGATTTTGAGAGACCTAAAGGAGAACTAAATGTGGCCTGATTATCATAGCTTTACATTTTAATAATTATTAAATTTTAGAAGTTGTTAGGCCAGGGATGAGGATTGGAAGTAGAGCACTTGTCTAGAACATACAACATTTTGCTTGATCCTTAGCACTGAAAAAAAACAAAGACTGAAATTATTAAATGACAAAATAGAAAATTTTGGTAATGGACTAGAAGCTCTAAAAGTTTATAAATCTGCCCAGGGAGTCGGGGGGGATGGGGTGGTGTTCACGCCTTTAATCCCAGCACTTGGGAGGTGGATCTCTGTGAGTTCGAGGCCAGCCTGGTCTACAGAGTGAGTTCCAGGACAGGCACCAGAACTACACAGAGAAACCCTGTCTCAAAAAACCAAAAGCAAATCAAAACAAAAAAGTTTATAAATCCAAGGACTGAAAAAGGTAGCGATTGAAATAAAGAACTCAACAGATGTCTGACCTGGGTTAGAGAAAGCCTGACAGAAGGCTGCTCCCGGGCTGCTTCCTGTACACAGACAGATGATGTGGCAGCACACACTTTTAGTCTCCACAGTAGGGAGGCAGAAGCAGATGGAACTCTCAGAGTTCGAGGCCACTCTCATTTACATGGCAAGTTCCAGGCCAGCCAGGACTACATAATGAGACCCTATCTTGAACAACAAATAACCAAAACAACAACAAAACAGCTGAAAGAAATGTGTAGCAACCCACTACTGTAAGAAAAACTAAAGAGGGAAACAGAAAAAGAGACACAAGGAAAGGAGATGCCGTAGGACAAGAAAAAGGTCTTTCTCCAGATCCACCGAGGGGAAGAGAGGCTGCTCACTGTTCAGTCTTAGACTAAAGCCATGAAGAAATGGCAGCCACTGGGCATGGTGGTGCACACCTTTTATCTCAGCAGGCAGATCTCTAAATCTGAGGCCAGCTGTTCTACACAGCAATTTCCAGGTCAGCCAAGCCTACAAAATAAAGAGATCTTGTCTCCAAAAAAAGAAGAAAGAGGAGGAAGATGAAAAAGAAAAGGAGAGAAGGAGGTGGGGATAAGGAGGAAGAGGAGACGGAGAAGGAGGAGGAGGGAGAAGAAGAAAAAGAAGGAAGAAGAAGGAGGAGAAGGAGAAGGAGGAGAAGGAGAAGAAGAAGAAGAAGAAGAAGAAGAAGAAGAAGAAGAAGAAGAAGAAGAAGAAGAAGAAGAAGAAGAAGAAGAAGAAGAAGCCCCCGACAGACATGCTCACAGCCCAACCTGATGGAGACAGTTCCTCAACTGAGTCTCCCTCTTCCCAGATGACTACAGCTGTGTCAGGGTGACAAGAAACTAACCAGTACAGGACAGCTACTATTAAAAAGACAGAGAATGGCTGGCATTAACAAGAGTGTGGTGTGGTGGAACCTTGGACACTGTTGGTAGGGATGTGAACTAGGGTAACTTCTTCAAGTAAAAAATGGAACTGCATGTAATCCAAGCAAACAATCACATATCTAGGTATATACTAAAAAACAAAAACAAAAAATATTTGCATATTCATGTTAGTAGTAATACTGTTCACAATAGCCAGGTGACCTTGGGGGCAACCTTGATGTCTTTCTTTAAGGGAGTGAGTGGAGTGGAGAGGAGCAACTCCATTCCCTAAATGTTATTCAGTCTTTGGAAGAAAGTCCCAGTGCACTCTGCAGCATGAATGAACTGTAAGGACATTGCACTAAGGAAAACATGGCACACACATTACCAGGAGGTGGTGGCACATGCCTTAGCAGGAGGATCTCTGTGAGTTTAAGGCCAGCCTAGTCTACAGAGCGAGTTCTAGGACAGCCAGACCCTGCCCCAGAAAAGCAACACACACACACACACACACACACACACACACACACATTTATATTGCACTGTCTTCCCCTATACCTTAAGGTATCAAGGGCAGTAAGACTCATGGAAACATAGACTGGAGTTATGGCTGCCAGGACCTAGGGAGAGAGGGAAATGGATAGTTGTCTAATGGGTAAAGAGTTTCATAAGATAAAAATATCCTGGAGATCTGTTTCTGTCCTTCACTACTATGGTCCAAGGGCTACAGTCTTACAGTGTGCTTATGCATCCTGATTTAAATGACTATAGCTTTGTAGTATATTTTAACGAATAAAAGAACTCTTACAACTTAATAATAAAAGGAAAACACACACACACACACACACACACACACACACACACACACACACACACGCAATCTGAACAGGAACTTTCCCAAAGAAAATAGACAGAAATGTTGGTATCCTTTATTATCAGGAGCACACAAATCAAGACCCCAGTGAAACAGTATTTCACATCCACTGTCATGGTGAGATGGCCATGGTGGAACCAAGGAAGCAGAAACATCAGAGCCTCATAACTGTCCTGAGGATATAAACTGTGTCCACCTCAGAAACAGTGTGACAGTCTCCAGAAAGCTAAACGTGGAGCTGTCAAACAGCCAGGACTTCCCTCCAAGAGAAATGAAAGCAGAAAAGAGGGACAACCCAAATGTCTATCAACAGCTGAAACTGGATACAAACTCAGGTACACACACAACAATTTATCTGCTCATAAAAATGAAGGCAGGCCAGTCAGAGTGGCAAAGACGGTAACCCCCGCACATGGGAGGCTGAGGGACTGCAAGTCTGAGGATAAGTCATGTCAGAGAGAGAGAGAGAGAGAGAGAGAGAGAGAGAGAGAGAGAGAGAGAGAGAGAAAGTAGTTCAGGGCCAATCTGGACTATATAGTGATCTCAGGACAGCCAGGGCTACATAGAGAGCCGCTGTCTCAGAATAAGGGGGAGCAGCGTATGAAAGAAAGATTGGTACATGCTGTAAATATAGGTGATCCTTAAAAACACCATGGTACTACATAAAGAACCATAAAAGGGCACAAAACACATTTCTCATTCATGATAAAGCCCAAGTGAAACTGTAGGGGACAGAAGGTGGACTTAGGAATAGGGGAGGGATGAGGGGGTTAGGAGTAAGAACTGGAGGGGGCAGATTCAGGATTCCTAGTGAAGTGTTTGAAATATTGCAGACTCGACTGTGGTGATGGATGCACACGCCTGTGTATGCTGCATCCATACTTTAAACAGGTGGATGATAGTATATATTAAATCATATCTCAGCAAAATGACACTCAACGCTTTTCATACGGCTTGACTTTTATAGCTTATACTTAGATCTTAGCTTTTCATTTCTAATCACCTCTGGGTTTTAACGATCTTCAACACTAATTACTGATAAGATTCTCTCCAATGCCAAGAAATCTCACTTGGATTGCTTACCGTTGTCGCCGTTTATCCTTATTTCGTACTCCTTGTAGAGTCTGCCGATGGTTTTTAGCATTTCCTCCATGTACTCGTACTCTGGGGGTAACACCCCATCCATGTTCTTATGGCGACTAAATATCCCAAACCCAATGTCTGTCCAGTTTTCCTGTAAGCGTTTAATCACTTTGAGAGAGTCATATTTGGCCAACAGAAAATCCCCTGTAAAATTGTCCTTCTCCTCATTCAGCATCTAGAAAGGGAAGCAGAGGGGAGAATGGTCCATTACTAATTGAAGTCTGCCCCAAGCCTCCATCCTCCATGATTCCTAGCGATTCTGGAGTGCCATGGGTTATTGTCATTGTTTGTACACTTCTTCTGGTAAGATCTGGGGGTTAAAGGAACTCAGGCTCACATTTTTATTCTGCCATTTGCCATTGACAGATGGCAAAACAGTTAACTGTTTTCCTAAGCTTCAACTGGGGAGTGTGTGACATGGGGACCATAAAACCTCTGTCATGAGCATAGGCTCTGTATGAGATTTCATTAGGTCATGAATTTGATATTGCTTCTTAAATTATTTCAATGTCATTATACAATTTTCTTTGTCCCACTACTATAGCATAATAGTAGTGGGGGGGGGGTAGCTGAGGCTTGAACCAGGGCCTTGCATATGTTAAGCTCAGTGGTATAGTACCACTGAGCCATATCTCCGGCCCTCATAATGGTTACTTAATTAATAAAATTTACTTTTAAAGTTTTAAACTTAAAATCCTAATATTGTGTGAAAATGTAATAAATATGGCACATACACAATACAATACAGCTTGGCCTCAAAAAGAGAGTCAATCCTGAAACATGAATGATCTTTGAAGGCAAAATACTAAGGGAAATAAGCCATTCATAAATGGACAATGCTAGAACCATCGACTTCACAGAGAGTAGAATATGCTTGTCAGGGGCTGAGGGAAACTGAGCACTGGGACGTACTGTCCAATGAGTAGCGACTCCGTCTGAAAGCTGGACCACGCGGCAGTATGAAAGTGCTCCAGGCCACTGGCCTATACACACACTTAAATGGTTAAAATGGAATTTATGGTATGTGCATGTTCCCATGATTTATAAAAGTGTAATCAATTTTAAAAGTCCAACTTGTTCTTCACACAAAAGCTCTATTCACGGGGAGTGGAAATGAAGCTATACTGGGAACTCAGCTGAGACTCAGAACCACCCTCACCACACAGCCTCACTTCATTTAACCCACAAACTGAAACAAAACTGAAAAATATCTAAACATATTTTTAAGGCCCCAATGGTTTTGCTGGCTTTTTCATTTTTGGTCATTCATAAACCTTGCTGTGCCGTTTTAAAGGATGAAATGTGCTCGGCTGTGGGTGGGAACCCCACATTGCCACCAGCGATACCATCAGCAGACTGTTTTGAGGAAGTCTCACCTTTTGAAACTCCTTGAAGTCTAGAAGGACGGCAGCGAACGGGTTCCCCTTGTTCGGGCTTACAATCTCTTTTCCACTGGAAGAAGAGTGAGAGGAGAGGTCTTGGAACAAGGTACACACAAAGAAACCCAGAAGTCCACCCGTGAACAGCAACGTTACCTGCTACCTCCGCCATCTTTCAGCACGGCCTCCAGGCCCAGCGCCTCTCCTCACGGGCATTCCTCCTCAAATTCACAATTAGAAATCACAAATTCTGATTCTAACTAACCAAGTGGTGGGCCTTGAAGCCTTCAGGGCATCTCTTTAAAGGGTGAGCTCTCATTTTGAGAACCCAAGATTAGGGTGTCCATAAGAATTCCCGCCAAACAATATGTGAGTGGACGGGAAGCCTGATGGGTAGATAATTAAGAGAACATCAAACATCAGGTCAGGAGTCTCAACCTCTTACAAGAAGCTCCCTTTCATTTCTCTGAAGTGTACAAGAAGGCTGTTTCATTTTTTTTTTTCCAGACAGGGTTTCTCTGTGTAGTTTTGGTGCCTGCCCTGGATCTTGCTCTGTAGCCCAGGCTGGCCTCGAACTCACAGAGATCCGCCTGGCTCTGCCTCCCAAGTGCTGGGATTCAAGGCGTGCGCCACCACTGCCCGGCTCATTTTTTTACTCTTTTATATTTTTATTTATTATTTGTTTGATTTTTTTAAACAATAACAACCTTTTTTGGAAGCGTGGAGATCATTTTATTACAAGCAAGCAAGCTGAAACCCCCAACAGCTACCGACAGGAGAGAAGAAGACGTGTTGTCGCTGACTTGGAAGTTGTCAAGCAGCTCTAGAAATGGGGGAGTGGGGTGATATCTTGTTTGTACTCTAACAAATAAAGCTGGGCTGAAGATCAGGGGTGGAGCTATCGATTAGTTAACCATAAAGGCCTGGAGGTCTGTATAGACAGACAAGAAGTGATATGGCTGGGCCGAGAGAGAAATATAAGGCAGGCAGAGACAGGAGCTCAACCCCTTTTCGGTCTGAGGAGTGGTGGAGGTGAGAGGTGACTTTGGCTGCTCCTTTACTTCTCTGATCTTTCAGCATTTACCCTGATGTCTAACTCTGGGTTCTTATTATTAAGAACAATTAGAATTCACACTATGGGAAGGGCAGGACAGTATCCAGAAAACCAGTGACAGAGTCTGGTGTCAGGAAAAGCATGCTGAAGCATTTGGCTAGTAATGGAAAAAAGAGACAGAAATGAGGGAAAATCCAAGTTTCAGATTTCAAATTAAAAATCAGAAAAGCAGGTATGCTTATCAATGAAGATCTATAAGTGAGTGCTTAAAGAATATTTATAAAAACAGAGTCTCACTATGTAGCCCAGGCTGGCCTTGAACTCACGACCTTTTACCGTCACCTCATGAGGGCTTACACGTGAGAGACATCATGGCTAGCCTGATGAAGTCATTCTTAAGACGTTCCTAAAGAACAAGGGGGAGGACACCTGGGTCCCCTCACTGCTGCGTGAGCTGCACAGAGCCACTCGGAGATGGATCAACTTTGGCTTTCAGAACTTTCACCTCTTCTAATTGGGAAGTCTTCAAGAGTTTGGAAAAACTGGGAACCACTAAATTAAATTTGCAAGAGAAACGGCGCTTAAAATGTGTCTCTGTGACGATGCATTCATGGGATAGCACAGGTCTTCTGTCCTCAGCTGAACTTCCTAGAAACTCACTCCCAGATGCTCCAAGGGATTCCAAAGTGACTCCATATGCAGTCACACAGACCACGGAGGTTGACCCTCACCCTTCTCTGCTTTCTGTCTAGAACATGAGGACTAGCAGCACAGGCAATTGGTGAGTCATGTGTGTGCAAAGGGAACAGAAATCACCTAGTCCAGTCTGCATCCAAAGCATAGGTTCTCACTAGCCTCGTCTATGTACCTATGATTTAGTCACCCAGCCTCAACTTACTTTATTGTTAGCCTCTTCCACTTTCAGACTACTCTGGGCTGTGGAGATGCTCACTGGGGGAAGCGCTTGTCACTCAAGCCTAGTGAGTGCTGGGTCTCCAGAGCCCACAGAGGAGGAAGAAGCATTAGCAAAAACTCTCTGCAATCCCAGTTTGCCTGTGGGAAACAGAGACAGGAGACTATCCAGAAGCTCTTGGGCCAATATGAGGCCAAGAGACCCCATCTCAAAGAAGGCAGAAAGACAGGGTCACCCAAAGGGGTCCAGCGCCCTCTTCTGGCCTCCTGGGACACATACACATACGTGCACATCACACAGAGAGAGACACACAAATACAATGAAATCTTAAAAAAGAGGGGGGTGGGGGACAAAGAGTTGGCGTTATGAAGGCAACAGCAGTTTGGCACGGAGGTCAGGAGGGCTGCGTATGTGTTCAGCACTGGAAAGCACCCGAGTTCAAGGCCCACTAACGGATGTTCTTAGCTCCCCCCACACTCAGAGTAATTAGTGAAGAGATTAGCTGCATTACCAGACAGAATGGAACCAAGTCAGAAAAAGCAAGAGTCCTGCGGACCCACACGTTATCTGTGAAGAACTCCTGCCACCTGACGAGCCCCGTTTTCACAGTCTGCGCTCTGTCCTTTGTAGAAGCCTCCGTGCGTTCCACATCCTTCTTAAACCTGTTCACTAACCTTTTCCATTTTTCTGTTAGCTTCTGCAGCACTGCAAGGTCTGCAGTGTCCTAAAATGAACAGAATCGATGCATTCATTTACTCATATAACTCACATTGATTGACAGGTACTAAGTCTTCATTACTGTTGAATTATGTGAAGAGTTCACAGGAGTGGGCCAAGAAGTTGAAAAGCTATTTCTCTTTCCAAATACCATCAGTGACACTGTGTCAATGGATTTTCTGTGGGACATGTTATTAGGGACAATACTTTTTCCTTTGCAACATGAACCTGGTTTTCCCACAGGATTTTTGCAGGGGCAGAATGACACACTGGCAAGGACAGGAACTGGAGAGCCAGGCAGAACCAAATGCGAATTCTAGACAGTGATATTATTTAGTCTAAAGTTCGTTTTTTATAAGGACAGTGTTGTTTAAAATAAGGACACTGATACATATCTCAGAGGGTTATTTTAACAGTTAGATGGCAGGAGCTGGAGAAATGACTCAGTAGTTAAGACTGCTTACTAATATTCAGAGGGTTGACCTGGGGCTCTGTTCCCAGTGACTCATAACTGTAGTTCCAGGGGATCTGGTGCCCTCTTCTGGCCGGAGGGCAACTGCACACACATGGTACACAAACTCACATAGGCATACACACATGCACATAAATTTAAAAATAAATATTACAGAGAAGTGAAATGACTGGAAGGTGTCCCTCCTACTCTCTAGAGTTCTTTCTCACATTTCCTTAATAAATGTATGTTTGCTATGCTCAAAGGGAGGGGCCTTACTGACTGCTGTAATCTTAGTGAAATGCACTAAATGTCAGCTCATTTTCTCCTTTGTGGATTGTCTTAGTTAGGGTTTTTATTGCTGTAAAGAGACACCATGACCATGACAGCTCTTACAAAGAAAAGATTTCATTGGGGTGGCTTGCTTGCAGTTTCAGAGGTTCAGTCCATTATCATCATGGTGATGAGCATGTAGGCAGATATGGTGCTGGAGCTGAGAGTGTACATCTTGCAGGCAACAAGAAGTCAATTGACACACTGACTGATCAATATGAAACCTCAAAGCCCGCCCCACAGTGACACACTTCCTCCAACAAGGCCATACCTCCTAATAGTGCCACTCCCTTTGGGGATCATTTTCTTGCAAGCCACCACATTGATCAATACATTTTCCCATAAAATTATTTAAGAATTATCAGTAATGTCTCCTTCCTCTCCCCTTCCTCCTTTTCCTCTTCTTCCTCCTCTCTTTGTTTGTAGCCCAGCCTGGCCTCAAACTTGTGACCCTCCTGCTTCAGTCTCCTGTGTTGTGGAATATTACTTTAACTAGGCAAGATGTATTACATTTGTTTATGCAACATTTGTTTAATTATGTAAAGATGTGTTGCTGGTTTACCTTGCCTGCCTAAGGCACCTGATTGGTCTAATAAAAAGCTGAACAGCCAATAGCTAGGCAGAGAAAGGATAGGCGGGGCTGGCAGGCAAAGAGAATAATAGGAGGAGAACTCTAGGCTCAGGAGAGAACAAAGGAGAAGAGAATGGAGGAGAAAGAGAGGGAGACCCCAGGGCCAGCCAGCCAGGCAGCTGCCATACAGACAGACACAGGGTAGGACATACAGAATGAAAGAAAAGTAAAAAGCCCCAAGGAAAAATGTAGATGAAGAGAAAGAAGTTAATTTAAGTTATAAGAGCTAGTGGAACAAGTGTAAGATAAGGCTGAGCATTCATAACTAATAAGTCTCCGTGTCATGACTTGGGAGCTGGTTAGTGGCCTAAAAGAAAGCCTGCTACACTCCTAAGTTCTGAGGTTACAGGCATACACCACCACACCCAACCACCGCCTCTTTTATTTTATCTTAAGCACTAATAATAAATAACTCTATGAAACTCTGGAGTGTTACTAGACTAGATGTGTTGCTTTGATTACAGTGGAAGACACTGTAACTAAGAGTCTTTATTCCTTCCCTTATTTTTTTTCATTCTTCATACCCACAACAAAGCATAAATATAGAACTGTACTTAAGAATCCATAGATCTGGCAAAGCCAAGCCTACAGCTTCAAAATGTAACACTTACAATCATTTACCCATGACCTATGTAAAGTGGGATTTACCTTGGTTGACAGCATTATAATGAAATGCTTGATATATTTATTCCAGCCTTTTTCACTGAGGTAGAGTTTTTTAGCCATTATGACTCTATTTCTTTCAATTACCTATAAAAAATGTACTATAATCAGGAACCTAAAACATTTTTAAACATTGTAATTTACTTGTAATGTTTTTACATATCAATTTTTATTCAGCCATTACCTCGATCAAAATTTCTTACTTTAATAATTTGAATCACAAATTTACACATTTCTAAAACTGTTGAACTGGAAGGATGTTACAGTTCAGGACTTCTGGGTAAGATGAAAGACTATAAATTGCTCTCCAGATAAAGAAAATACAGATTAACCCTAACAGAGAGGAAAACTTGAGGATTACACAAAGACAATGATGGGTTGCTTGTAGATTGTTGAGAAAAAGAAAGCCAAGCTGGGGCTAGATAGATGACCAATAGATAAAATATGAGGACCTGAGTTCAAATCCCCAGAACTCAGGTAAAGCTAGCATAGTGGTGTACTTCTGTACCCCCAGAGCTCCTACAGGAAGATGAAAGCTGGATACAGGAAAGTCCCTGGAAGATCTCAGATCAGCTACCCTAGTGTTTACAGTGGAGGGGGAGAGAGAGAGAGAGAGAGAGACAGAGACAGACAGACAGACAGACAGACAGACAGACAGACAGAGACCCTTCTCAAACAAAGTGGAAGGTGAGAACCAAAGCCCAAAGTTGTCCTCTGACCTCCACTTAAGCAAAGCAGCATGTGTATGCTCTCTCTCTTTCTCTCTTACACACATACACACACACACACACACACACACACACACACACACACACACACACACACACTGAAGAAAAATTAAAAAGAAAGAAAAAGAAGCCAAACTGAACATAGCTCCCACTGCATCTCCACCTGTTGGAGTCTGTCAGAGTCCAGCTCTGACCTGTCAAAGGGTTCTTAGAAGAGGAGAGAGGAATGAGGAAGTATTAGATAGAAAGGTAGAAGGAGATGGTAAGAAAGACAGAGACACAAGGTAGCTTCGGGAAGGCCTTGGGTCAATACCCAGCTGCCCCAAGATTTATTCTAATGGGTTTTTTATACACTATCAAGGGGAAAGGCAAAAGACCTCTCCCTTTCAAGATCAAAGCACAATGTATAGCCAAGTGTATATCCTTCAAAACACCTGGTAACCATGCCCATGGCCAAATCATCCCATTATGCAGCCCTGTGCTCAGATTCTCTGTCCTTGAGTAAGGTCTTACTAGGGAGCCTCTGTGGGCCCCCACACCTACCCAAACAAAGGACTCAGCCAAGAGGCAAAGTGGGAGGCCCTGGCAAAGACCAGCAGTCAAGCCCGTAATGCTTACAAGTCTCAAAAATCACTGCAGGTTTTGGTGAGACAGGGTTTCTCTGTTTACCCTGGCCTGTGCTGAAACTCACTCTGTAGACCAGGCTGGCCTTGAACTCAGAGATCTATCTGCCTCTGCCTCCCAAGTGCTGGAATTAAAGGAAACCACATCTGGCTTCCCATATGCCCTTTTACCTGCCCCACCCTCTTTCAGCACCTATTTTACCCTTTTATTCTCCTTTCTAGCTTTACACGTTTATACTCCTCCATACACATACAAATTTAACAAAGCCTAGTTTTTCTGCTTGTTTGTTTGTCTGTTTCTCAAGACAGAGTCTCCCTATGTAATCATGGCTGTCCTGGAACTCACTATGTATCATAAAAATATTCATTCATACTTATAATTGATTCTAATATATTTATAATATCATGGTTTTTACATTTTAAAATGTAACCTTTTCTTGGACTTACTTTTCCCAAGTAAGAAAGTCTTGATTCTGCTGCCCAGTATGTAAGCTTTCTCTCTAGGTTTAGGACACCTGCACATTTTGATAGGAATTCCTTCTTTATGTTCTCCAAGCAGCTGACAGGCCACCCCATGCTATACTAACAAGCACTTGGCACAGATCTATCAGGCAGGCTGTCTGCAAGGAGAGCCCAGTGACCTGCCACCAGCAGAATTTTGAACCAATCCAACTGGATCAGATTTTTAAACTTCCTATGAGTCAGAATTCAAAGTTAATTTCTACCAGACCCTGGGGTCAGAACAGAGAGTCAACACATACGTGTCTTTAAAATGAAAGACTATTGTGGGATTTGTTCTCACTGTAAAGCATTACTGTCATGTTCTATGGGTTTCCCTCATCGATTTGCCAAGGTACTATAACCCATGTAACATGATATCCAAGGATCCTAATATAGTTACAGGAGATGAAAAAGTAAGAGTTACCTTTTAGAGAGATTGGATTATATATTATAATTATGTACATTAACCATACTACCTTTTCTAGGGATTAGTGTACATTACATCTACAAATTAGCATACTATAATTAAAGTTAAAAGTTTTAATATATGCCCAAACAAAAGAAAACCAGAATTTACAGTCCTAGTTTACAGGTTAAAGAAGGAACCATTCCTGAATCGCACAACAGCTAGTTACCCACAGAAGAAAGACACTTCCGTCTTCAGTGCCCACAAAAGCCATGACTTCATCAGTAAACACACACCGTCTTTCCTTGTGTACCTTTTGTGTGTGTTATTAAAACCTGTCAGATGGAACTTTAGTCAATAGAGGAGTCCGAGTTGTATGTAAGTCCAGATGAACAAACCTTTAGGGCCAATTCATATGTGGCTGAGCTCCAAATGTCTCTTTCTGTCATTAAGAGCTTAATATCATTCTCCATCCGGCCTCTCTGTAATGTATATAAGTCATGGTAGTCTTCTACTATTCTGAAAGAACATTAAGAAATACCTATTTAGATACTTTAAAAATATTTTTGTGCTGGGCAGTGGTGGTGCATGCCTTTAATCCCAGCACTCGGGAGACAGAGGCAGGTGGATCTCTGTGAGTTCAAGGCCAGCCTGGTCTACAGAGCGAATTTCAGGATAGGCTCCAAAGCTACACAGAGAAACCCTGTCTCAAAAATATATATATATCTTTTTATGAAAATAGGCAACCTGATCCTTCAAGCCTTTTTATAAGGTAACTGTAGCATATTTGCTAGATATATTGGCAACACTTTTTAGAGTGAAATTTTAAAAGTTCACATTTTATTTACAAATATTGACAAGAATAATATACCCAATGAACCTTCTATATACCATTGTATCTAATGAAAAACTCAAAATGAGCCCCAAGATATGCTCAGTGGGTACAGCATTTGCCTTGCAAGTCTGATGCCTGCCTGAGTTCAGACCCCCGAACATTACAGAGCCGGACACAGTGGCATGTGCCTGATCCCAACATTCCTCTGGTGAGATTGGAGGCAGAGACGGAACAGCTGTCGGAAGTGAACTCAATAGCTACCCTGGAAGACTCAGCACAGTGAGAGAAAAGGGAGACCCCAGCTCAAACACGGTGGGCAAAAACTGACCTCGAAAGTTGTCCTCTCACCTCTGCAGGTGTGTGCCTACACACAGAGACACAGACACAGACACACAGACACACACACAGACACACACACACACACACAGACACACACACACATACACACACACACACACTCACCTAGTTTTTAAAACATTTTTAAAAATTCAGAATGCAAGTAATAGCAATCCAGTAATTTTATTGTTAATCATCTTTGCTGATTGATTAGAATTCTTTAATTAAAGGCCTGAAGCCTAATAAACTGTAAGTCACTAAAACTTTAAATCATATAAATTAGCTCAAGGGTAAAAGAAATTCCCTCCCAGCCACCCAAAGGCTTATGTATAATCAAGCACCTTGTCCTGGCTAGTTTTTAAGTCAACTTGACATAAGCTAGAGTCATTTGAAAGGAGAGAAACATCAATTGAGGAAATGCCTCCATACTATCAGGCTGTAGAGAAGCCTACAGGACATTTTCCAGTTCATTGTGGGTGGTGCCACCCCTGGGCTGAAGGTCCTGGGTACTATAAGAAAGCAGGCTGAATAAGCCAAGAGCCAACCAACCCATAAGCAGCACTCCTCCCTGGCCTCTGCATCAGTTCCTGTCTCCAGGGTCCTGCCCTGTTGGAGTGCCTGTCCTGACTCCCTTCCTCCCCAGGTTGCTTTTGGTCATGGTGTCTCATCACAGCAGCAGTAACTCTAACCTAAGACACACCTCTTTCTTACTGTGTTCTCACGTCTAGCAGAACATACCTTTTCCTTCTCATTGACACCATTTCCTCTCTTGGAATTAAAAGCCCTCTGAGTTTAGCCAAACAGAAGTTGTTGAGGCTGGCAGGATAGCAGCCAAGCACTTACTGCCAAGCCTGAAAACCTGAGTTCCACCCCCAGGGGACACACACACACACACATACACACACACACACACACACACACACACACACTCATTCACTAAATAAATGTGGTGGAAAGAATAAACAGAAATTACAAAGTGACTGTGGTGGTTTGAATGGCCCCCATAGACTCAGAGATCTGAATGCTTGAACACCAAGGAGTGGCACTATTAGGAGGTGTGGCCTTGTTGGAGTAGGTGTGGTTTTGTTGAAGGAAGTGTGTCACTGGGGATGTGATTTGAGGTTTCAGATGCTCAAGCTAGGCCCAGTCTCTCTCTCTTCCTGCTGCCTGCCAATCCAGATGTAGAACTCTCAGCTCCCTGTCCAGCACCATGTCTGCCTGTGTGCCACCACGCTTCCCACCATGCTGATAATGGACTAAATTTCTGAACCATAAGTCAGCCCCAGTTCAATGTTTTCCTGCCTTCAATGTGGTCATGGTGTCTCTCCACAGCAACAGGACATTAACTAAGACAGTGACAAATAACACTTTCCCTCATTAATGTTACCTTTGCTGTCAGCCTTAAAGTGCACTGACATGCAATTGTACTCTTGGCACGAGGCAGGAACACCACATTAAGTCGTCTTCCATGTGCTCACATAATTGCGAGGAAAGCCACACAGGCGGGCACACAGGAAACCTCCTGGAGCTGTGCCTTCATGATGTGTTTACCTTTCTGCCTGACCGACAACACTTTTGTAAGAATAACGAATACCCCAATTCATAAAAGAGCAACACTGGAGGCTGACAGACAGCTCCACCACGGAGAGCTCTTGCTGCTCTTGCAGACGACCGGTATTTGTTCCCAGCACCCAACTAGTAGCTCACAACCATCTGTAACTCCGGTTCTAGGGCATCTGACACCCTCTTCTGGGCCCCACAGACATTGCCCATGCATGGTACACAGACGTGTGTGTAGACAAAACACCCACCCAGAGAAAAAAAATGAAATAAAATAGAAGAGGTTTTAAAAGTGGGGAGAAATAGAAGAAGATGCACTGACCCTGGCTTCCATAATGCACACACAGGTAATCACAAACACACAGACATACGCACCACGTCACACGTCTTCTCTTAAAGAACTGAAAGTTTCACAAAAAAGGAATGAGAAAAGCAACCATACTGTTGTCTTTAGATTCAGTTCATTTATTAATATTAACTATGTTGATGAAATGCATTAGCAATTAACTGAGCCGTCAATAATGTATCAGTGTCGTACTAAAGAAAGAAAGAAAAACACTTCCCCTGGTGTCATTTAACCAAGAGCAAGTAAACATTTAAATTCTCTACCTCATGCAAACTGTGTCTTCATTCTCGGTCAGTCTGTGTTATGAGTCTGAATAAGTGCCCACCCGAAGGCTGTCCTGTGACTCTGTCCCTGTTCCTGTCCCTGTGTGTGACTGTGTCACTGTATGTCCTGTGTCTGTGTGTGTATGTGTGTCTGTCTGTTTGTCTGTCTGTCCCTCACAAAAGGCTTTGCTTTGTTTTTATTGAATGGCACAGAATGGGGAAGGAATGGGTTACTTTACAGAAATCTTTACCAGAGTTTTCAAGGAATTAAGTCACTGACTCCAACTGACCTTAAGTGATCCAGACTACAAACACCATTGTTTATCAATCAATACCCATAACGGACATTCGTGTTAGAAAATTGTTTTCAATCTCTGTATTTTCTGTTTCCAGCAAACAACATCATAACATACATGTATTGTTCTGGGTCAGGGGCATGGAAGAGTACATAATTTAAGATTACAGTTGTACATTAGCTTAAGCTGTAAAGGTTTGCTACTTGGGAAATCCATGGTAAGTGAGGTTCACTGTTAGAATGTTCTCTTAGAGGCAGGTTAAACTAACAGCTGAGTACACAGTAGGGTATCAGCATTAAGTCTTAAGTGATCTCAAAGTATGTTATGAACTCTGGCTGTGAGGTCCAGCAAAAGTCCCAGTCTCTTAAAATACAAACAATACTTTCATAATATTGCATTGCTACATTAATGCTTTCATTGTATTTCAGTGAACAGACACAGATATAGTTCCTGTCCCAACTGTCTGCCTTTGTGATCTTGCCATTAGAGTGCCAGAGCAGTCAAAGACGGGATACAGACATGGCATGTACACATAAAGCTTCACAAACTGCCGGGCGGTGGTGGCGCATGCCTTTAATCCCAGCACTCGGGAGGCAGAGCCAGGCGGATCTCTGTGAGTTCGAGGCCAGCCTGGGCTACCAAGTGAGCTCCAGGAAAGGCGCAAAGCTACACAGAGAAACCCTGTCTCGAAAAACCAAAAAAAAAAAAAAAAAAGCTTCACAAACTGACACTTAACCAGAGAGTGCTGTGGGATGGTCTGTATGTCAAATTGCTCTGATTGGTCAATAAATAAAACACTGATTGGCCAGTGGCTAGGCAGGAAGTATAGGCGGGACTAAGAGAGAGGAGAAAAAGAACAGGAAGGCAGAAGGAGTCACTGCCAGCCGCCGCCATGACAAGAAGCATGTGAAGATGCCGGTAAGCCACGTAGCAAGGTATAGATTTATGGGAATGGATTAATTTAAGCTATAAGAACAGTTAGCAAAAAGCCTGCCACGGCCATACAATTTGTAACCAATATAAGTCTCTGTGTTTACTTGGTTGGGTCTGAGCGGCTGTGGGACTGGCGGGTGATAGAGATTTGTCCTGACTGTGGGCAAGGCAGGAAAACTCTAGCTACAAGAAATGACATCTGAAGGGCTCTATTACATGTCACTTTTAACCTTTATAAAAAATAACCCTAGGAAGCAGGTGATACGGCAACCTGGATTTTACTTGTGGACCAACTGAGGCCCAGGAAAGTTAGGATTAAACATCTTCTCTTTCCATTATCAAGCAATATAAGCTTTACCAACTCACTTTGCATTCTTTTCTGCTTCCAAAAGAGCTTCTGCCAGATCATTCTGGGCTTTCTCTGCATCCTTCGTTAATTTTCTGTCATGGGCCCGAACCAAACAAAGTTCCCTGGTTCAGGGAGGGGGGAGAAAAGAAATCTCAGACTCAAAGATGAAAACTTCCAAAAAGTTTCTACCCCAGAAATCAGATTCACACATAACCTCAGTTACTCTCTGCATCCTCTCCTTTCATTTTCTGCCCGTAAACCAAAACAAAACCCCAGTGCACTTCCTGGTGGACTCGGTCAGGTTTGGCAATGGACTTGGACAGGTGCATCTTCTAGGACAGAGCAGGGGCAGCTGCTCTACCCCGCTCTGGTCTGCCTAGCCTGTGCTCTTCATTCTTACCACTGGTCATCTTGGTGCAAGGTTAGCCCACTAACCATACTGCTATGGTAGATTTATTTTCTTTGGAATTTGAACATTAGCATCTATAGTCATGGAAGTGCTCTGGAAATATGATTAAGATAAATATCCATAATGTGGACAGGTTCTTCTCTATCAAACACAGGCACAATTTTGGTTTTCGATTCAAATGGGTAACCTGGTCTCTGCCTCTCCACCAGTCTCCAGTTCTCTGAAGGCAAAAGAGCCTTCCTCTTTAACATCTCCTCCCCATGGTTTCCTTTCACTCCAGGTAAAGACAGGGCTCTGGCTTCCACTTTGGGTTGAGGAGCCTCAAGGTTTTCACCTGGTCAACTCCTCAATCACATTCTTGAAGTTATACAGTTCTTGTAAGATGCGCTGGTCCATCATCCGCTGAGTTACGAAGTCTTTGTAGAATTCAATCATCTGCCGGGCAATTTGGTCAAGCATTTGCACATATCTCTCTCTGCAGGAGAAAACCAAGGAAAAGGGAAAGAAAAGAAAGACAGGAAGAATGCAAGCAAGAAAGTAATGTTAGGAAAAGAAATAGCCAATAGGCACGCACGAACTGACAGAAAAAGAAAGGAATCCAGACTCCTCTCCCACAGCACACACATAGTAAGTTAGAACCAGAGACATGGCTATTAGGAATATAAATAATATCTGAGACACAAAACAAAGATAGGATGTGTTTTAGTTCTAAATTATAAACTCTTTTGAGAGAGGAACAGTGCCATATATCTATGTTTATATTAATAACCAGAATACCTTGAATAGAGTGAGATTTTCACATAGTTGAATTCATAGGGGACACTTTCCTCAAACTGACTAAATGTAAAAAGACACCAACTATTTAAAACGGATTAAAATGTAGCCGGGCAGTGGCGGCACACGCCTTTAATCCCAGCACTCGGGAGGCAGAGGCAGACGGATCTCTGTGAGTTCGAGGCCCGACTGGACTACAGAGTGAGTTCCAGGAAAGGCGAAAAGCTACACAGAGAAACTCTGTCTAAAAATATATATATATACTAAGATGCTTTCCCTCAAAGGAACTGTTTCTTTTGCCATAGGTCCTGAACTACTTCTGTCACCCTCGGCTTTACTTTGACCGTGACCGTGTGGGCTGTGCTCTGCTGCTGTTCCGATCTGGCACTCCTCCTCACAGTATTCTGTTTATTCTTCTCCTGATCCTAACCAGTCTCTAACGGCTTTGCTTCTTCCTCAGACCAGTCAGACGGCAGGGAGAGGAGACCCACACGAGAAGAAAGGGGGGTCGTACTGGGGTGTGCCTCAGCAGGGAAGGGCCTCCTGGGCCCTCACACGTGATACACAATAATAATAATAACTTTTAAAAAGAAACTGATAGGCTGAGTATGACAGTGCACGCCTTTAATCCCAGGCACCAGAAGGTAGATCTTTTTGAGTTCAAGGACAGCCTGGTCTACATAGTGAGACCCTGCCTCAAAAAAAGAATCCAGTGCATATTTAACAACAGGTTCAAGGCCAGCCTGGTCTACATAGCAAGTGCCCAGCCAGGGCTACTAGCTGTACTTAAAAAAAAAAAAAAAAAAGGAAGAAAAAAGGAAGAAATAGATGTTCAAAAAGCTGTTACAACTTCTCCTGGTTCCACAGAGAGTAAAATACAGTTATACTGTCTGGCCAGTGTATTCTTTCAGCTTTTTGGACAGAACCAAAGTCTAAGAAAGATAATTATAGTAACAGTAGTATTAATTTATATTTACCATTAATGACTACATATATT